ATAAACAAAACATATAGGCACATGTATTCCCCCCCGAAATAATTAAAATATTGAAAATGGGCCGTAAGCACTCACCCTTGAAGCGTGAGTTCGATTCGTACGGTATTCGGATTCCTTTGGGAAACTTGTCATAAGATTTGTTACGTGACATTCCTCGTCCGTAAGACGAATCACCGAGTATATTTGTATTTCCTAATAAACCAAATGGTAGTTTTGGTATTAATTATTAAGTTTATGGTGGTCTTTCATAAAATGAATAAACTCTAGGGTTTGATTTTGCCAAAATCATACTTCAGAGACTGATATAGAGAATTATTCTCAAGACAGGGGTTAAACATGTGTATTTGAAACTGTTGTAGGGTTTTAGGACTTAATTTATTAGGTTTTTCTGGGGGAGGGACCATTTCTGTTTAATTTAAATACATGTTTGATTTAGCTTTGACCTTTGATCGGGTGAAAATTAAAACCCATTTGTTTTATCGGGGCTCCAAGTACGATCCACATAAGTGGATCCATTTACAAAAAGATTAGGGCTCTTACCCTGTGTTTCATTCAATCGGGCAAACCTCAAGGAACGAAGAAGCAGTGGGGGAAAGGGATCAATTCACGGCGACCCTTCATTCCTCTCCCGTCGTCGGCAACAAAGAGACCAAGGGGAAGATCCGATGGCGAAGCAATGACCGACAGTGGAAAAGTGTAGCGACTGTGAGACCTGATGGCGGTCGTCATCTCGCAAGGGAGATGGAATGATCGGCGACGAGGGGTTTGTATTCAGGGTTTGATGAGGCCGACTTAACGGAGGAAATGGTGGAGTCGGCGAGGCTTCTTCTTCTCGTCTGGTTGCGGGGTGCGAAGGGGGAAAGGAAACGGGTCCAAAGAGACGGAGGGGGATCGGTGGGTTTGCTCGACGGGCAAGATGGGGAGGGACAGCCTCCTCCGGCGATTGCAGGTAACGGACGAGACAGAAGTCCCGGGTTCTTCTTCTTCTTCTTCTTCTTCTTATTCTTCTTCTTCTTTGATTGTTTCACAGTAGTGTGTAAAACCTAAGTGGATGTTTTAGGATGGCTCTGATTGCAAGGAAGGAAGACAGAATACAATAATCTCGGGGTTGTTTGTTTGCTATGGTTTGCTTTTGTTTGGATAGATATCGATGGTGTGTTTGGTTGGTTCATTTGACAGGGAAGTGAAGGAGAAGAAGAACAGCAACAAAACCTTAAGGTGTTTTGGGTGTTACTGTCAAACCCGTGGGAAAGAAGAAAGATCGAAAGAGGGTTGTTGCCCTCTTGGATGAGTCCTGGCAGCAATTGAAGGACAACAAAAGAAACAGACCCTTGGCGTATGATTTTGTATAGGTTGAAAGTTAGAAGCAAGTTGTACAATAGTTGAGTACGTTAGTTGAGTAGTGTGCAAGTTTCATCCTTATTTGGCTGTAAATTTAAGAGTAAAATATTTAATTTAAGAGTAAATTCATTTTAGTATTATGTATTTGTTTCATTATGAAATGTGTGTATAGTTTGTAATTAATGAATTTTCATGTATATCTTGTTTGGTTTGGATTTAGAAGCATTGTAATACCGCAATTATTTGTGCATTTGGATGAGTATTAATTTATTTTTACTTGTTATATACACTAGCATATGTATTTTGAAAATATGGTATATGATTTATATAAATATTTATATATTCAGTGTTGTTATATAATTTTAATTATATAATATATATGAATGACATGATTATCTCATATTGTATATTTTCTCAAAACTCTAGTAGATACGTTTTGCATTTGACCATAAAACATATCTCATACTTGTATATACGTACATATATCTAGTCGTTCACGATTTTATAAGTATTAGGCTATTCCAAATCAATCGGATTTGGATGTATATATATTATTCTGGAATACATAACTAATAATAGAAATCATGTCGAAATAAATACATTAATGTTTCGTGATTCAAATCCTAAAAAACGTTTGATTTGTCAACTTTTATAATTACTTTTACCTAAAATATTTCAAATATCAAATTAAATATTATGCTATAGCCTGAGTCCAAAATGCTTTCGGAATCTCTTATTGAGGTGTGCAAGTTTATCAATTGATAGGAACGGTTTTAGTGGTTTTTAAGAAATCAGTATTATGATATTCTTGATTCTCAAAACGGTCGTATCTTTTGCATACGAACTCCGTTTTGGACGTTCTTTATATTTTTGGAAACAGGGAAACACGTACTACAAGACTAGAGTGTTTGCTTTTCTCACAAATGCTTAATGCGAAATTTTAGTGTTTCAGACGCATTCATAAGGTTGCAGTTTGAGTTGTTAGATTTGTTTGCCAGATTACATATTCGTAAATAAGATATCATCTGGTATCTTATAATAGTTGAAATAACTCATTTATTTTATATTATATGAACTAAAACTCAATGAATAAAATTACAAAGAGATTTACTGTGAATTTGACCTTTCACAGTCTGTGACCTAAATTCTGGGATGTCACACAGTCGGGGCTTCTAGTACCGGATTGGAGGGAGACAGTAGGTATAACACCCGCAGATCCGGGGAAAACAATTAAAATATAATAAGCTATGAAAACGATATTTTTATAGAAGATTATTTAGGATAAATAATCTTAACCAAAGTTAAAAATTATTTAGGATAAATAATCTTAACCAAAGTTATAGTATATGTGACAAGGATTGCGTAAATATAAAGAACGATGAAATCCGACTTTGTACGAAGAAGTTATGCGTCTTTGAAGTTTCACAATTAAACTGACACGACTCTGCGTATCGTAAAAAATAAATTTTTTATAAATTACTTTTAGCCTAAGTGATAAAAACAAAAGTTGTAGTAGTTGTAAATCCGAGAGCCTGCATAAAAAAAGACGCCTAAATCTGACTTCGTGAGACGAAGTTATGATTTTTAGAAGTTTCAGCATAAATGTATGCGACACATAAACCGAAACAAAAAATCGGCCGATTGTTAGGAAAAGCAATCTAAACGAGCATTGAAGACCTCAATAATAGCAGTTTGTTGATATAAAGACAGACGAGAACGGGACGAAAGAGTTATGAATTTCTAACGGACTTTAACAATCTAAGACTGTTAAAAATATAAATTTAAAAATAAAGTCAAAATTAGCCGACGGAGTCTAAATGAAAGTTGTAGATCTCATTGATAGCTACACGTTGATATAAAGAGTATCGAAAACAGAGTCTTGTATGAAGAAGATACAGATTTTTGAAGTTTTATAAAAGAATCTGTGCGCAGCCGCGCGCATCGACAAGGGACACAGGGCGCTTCTGACGTTCCACAGAGATCGCGACACGTGGCACCGCCCATCGATCAACATGCCACCCTAGCCGACCAGATGCACGACGCATAGTGGACATAATGCGTAGTGTGCACCCCTTTCAGGCCTATATAAACCCTCGAAAATCAACATAATTCTCACACCTTTCCACTTAATCCCTCTGGAACTCTCTCGAAGCCTTTAGCCTTTTTCTTCCAAGTTCCGGACCCCTGTGGTGTTAGATAGCCGGTGAATAAAAGCTCCTAGATTAGATTTATGCTCGCATAATTCTCAGTTTTCATCATAATACTCTGTAAGTTAAGCTACACTTATTTTATTCAAGTGTAACTTTTAATTACAGTCATAGTCGTTATTATGAACCTATAATTAAGATTTATCAGTGATTCCAAAGTCATTATACTGAATGATCTACTTACAGGGATGATGTCTCGGCTGGATTTAGTGAGGTGTTTAAAGTGAGATTTCCAAATAATATACTTTGTATACTAACCAGCCTCTACCTTTGACACTACAAATAAAATTACATTTAGTGGCACAAGTTTTTAGTGGCAAAATGTTTTTGTGCCACCATAATGGCCCGCATAGTCTTACTTTAATTGTTATACTTTGTTGATGCCTTAATTTTAATAAAATTCATTGACTATCAATATAAAGTGGAAATGACACAAATGCCCAACAAAAGTTCTAGGTTTGTCGATTCAGTCCGTAAAGTTGTTATGGGGCTTTATAGGTCCCTAAACTAGGATACGATCAAATATTTTAGTCCCTGTTAACCTGTAATAGCCGGTTCACCATGCGACAATGACCATTTAGACCAAAAAAAACTCACATTATGCATCTATAAAGTCAAAAAAACAAGTTTAGGGATCAAATGCTTATGCCACAAGATTGAAGACCAAAAAATTTCTAGGTTTGTCGATTCAGTCCCTAAAGTTTTTGTCGGGCTTTATAGGTCCCTAAACTAGGATACGATATGCTATTTTAGTCCCTGTTAACCTGTAATAACCGGTTCACCATGCGACAATAACCATTTAGACAAAAAAAAAAAAAACTCACATTATGCCTCTATAAATTCAAAAAAATAAGTTCAGAGATCAAATGTTTATGACACAAGATTGAAGAAACAAACTACTCAATTTCACATAATTAGATGAAGAAACATGCATGTTGATGTCAGGATCTTTCAGAATTTCTGCTCGAAAAGCTCATTCTATTTCTGAAACCGAGGGTTTCTTCTCATTTTCAAATTTCTTCTTCTCCCAAATCACTTCGACCTTGTGGCATAAGACATTTGATCCCCGAACTTATTTTTTTTGGCTTTATGGGGGCATAATGTGAGTTTTTTTGGTCTAAATGGTCACTGTCGCATGGTGAACCGACTATTACATATTGACAGTGACTAAAAGAGCAGGTCGTATCATAATTTAGGGACCTATAAAACCCGACAAAAACTTTAAAGACTTAATCGACCAACCCTAAAAACAAACATTATAGGCATTTGTGTCATTTCTCCTCAAATAAATAAATTAATCTTTGATTGAGAATGCACTTTAATTTGATTACATTGCATTAAACAAGAGTAGAACAAGTTGGAAAACATACGTGCTGCAATACATCGAGGATTATAATCTCAAATTCAGCACATCAAAAAGATTAACAAAAAAAAAAAAAAAAAACCATCATCTTAGTCGGGAAATGAAAGCCCGCTTACGAACTCCAGGTACTCCTTCTTGCGCTCAATCTCGTGAACAGCAGCAACTTTGCTATTAGAGCGCCACTCCATTGCATCTTCAACTACATACTGAATGTTCTTCAAGTGATCTGGGGACATATCATTACTTTTGATCTTCTTCTTTACCTGATATACGCAATCCTCCAAGGCATTGTAGGCTTCTGCTCTTCTCTTGTATTCCTGGTCCTCAAGCTTGAACTTCTCAGCATCTTCCATCATTTTATCTATCTCTTTCTTCGACAATCTTCCACATATATTGGTAACAGTAAGTTTTTCGGTCTTACCAGTGGATAATACCTTAGCTGTAACTGTGAGGTTCCCATTATCATCTATTTCAAAACAATCTTCTACTACGGACACTCCCTTGGGAGCAGGTGGTATTCCAGAAATTGTAAACGATCCCAACAAATAGTTATCAGTAGATTTAGATCGTTCACCTTGATATACGATGACATCCATAGAAGTTTGCTTCTTTTTGGTTGTAACAAACTCCATCATCCTCTTAGTAGGTATGGGAGTGTTCTTAGGGATCACGACTGTCATTACTTCACCATCTGTTTCAACACCAACTGACAATGGGATGACATCAAATAGCACCAACTCCTTCACCATTTTTGAAGTTGCACCACGTAACTTTGCAGCCAAAACTCCCGCCCCATAAGCCACAGCTTCATCAGGGTTGATGGTCTTGCATGGCTCCTTTCCATGAAAGAACTCCTGCAACATACGTTGAATCTTTGGAATTCTAGTTGACCCACCAACAAGAATCACCTCATCTACACCTCCTTTCATTATATTCGCATCCGCTAAACATGTCTTCACTTGTTCAATACACTTTGTAAAATAACTCATATTAAGCTCCTCAAATTTAGCACGAGTAATTTCTATTGAAAAGTCAATACCCTTGTGCAACAAGTCTAATTCAATTGAAGCGCGACTGGAATATGAAAGAGTTCTCTTTGCTTTCTCACAAGCAGCTTTCAACCTTCCTAACACTCTTTTTTTTCCAGCCAAATCTATGTTCCATTTCTTCTTAAAATCATCACAACAGTAATTCACCATTTTGTTATCAAAATCATCACCTCCCAGATGAGTGTCGCTAGCGACTGCCTTAACCTCAAACGCCCCTACTTCATCAATGGTGAGAAGAGACACATCAAAAGTACCACCACCGAGATCAAATATAAGCACATTCCTCTTTCCAGTAAGACCCAACATATTGTCTATACCATAAGCAATTGCAGCTGCTGTTGGCTCGTTGATCATACGAAGGACATTCACGCCAGCAATCGTAGCAGCATCCTTGGTTGCTTGACGTTGACCATCATTGAAATAAGCAGGGACTGTAATGACTGCATTTTTGACAGTCTCACCTATATACGCCTCTGCAACTTCTTTCATCTTTGTAAGCACCATGGACGAAATTGCTTCCATAGAAAATTGTTGCTCGTTACCCTTGTGAGTAACCATCACTTTTGGCACGTCGTTTGGCCCTTCTATGACTCTAAATGGCAACAACTTTATGTCTTTCTGCACTGTTGCTTCACTGAACCTCCTGCCGATCAGCCTCTTTGCATCTGAAATTACGTAACCAAATCAGCCAAGCTATAAAAATATATGAAGAAAGTAGAAATTTACAAGCATAGAAAGTGTAAACCGACTGAATATAGTATTAGCAGGGTTCTTTGCAATTTGATTCTTGGCACCATCACCAACGAGACATTGAGAATCAGTGAAAGCAACACAAGATGGCGTCGTTCGGTTGCCTTGGTCATTGGTTATGATCTCTATTCTGTTGTGTTTCCAAACAGCAACACAGGAGTTTGTTGTACCCAAATCGATTCCGATTGCTAATTCTACATCTACACCTTTTGACATTGTATTAAGGTTTTAGCAGAAATATGCAACTGAGCTATGGAGTTCACGAAGAGGAGTTTAACACGTGAAGTAAATAGTGTATGGAAGATTTGAATTAAGAGGGTGTTTGGATAAAAAATAAAAAAACAAAACAAAATAAAATAAAAGCAATTATTACTCATTTCCACCACAATAACTTAAATTTAGGCTTATTTACACCACAATAAGTTAACTTTAAGTATTTTGATAAGAACTAGAAAAAGATCCGTGCGATGCACGGTTCAAAGTTTAGTGGTAAAAATATAAAGAAGTAAAAATAAAGTGCCAAACTTATAAAGAAAAAAAGTTTGTTCAAACTTTAGTGGCAAAATTAGTAAAAATAAAATACCAAAACTATAAAGAGAAAATGTTTGTTGAAACTTTAGTGATAAAATTATAAAAAAATAAAAATAAAGTGATAAAATTATAAAAGAATAAAGAAAAGTGGTTTTAAAGAAGTAAAAGTGAATGTTTAGTGGCAAAAATATGAAGAAGTAAAAATAAAGGGACAAAATTATAAAAAGGAAAAGTTTGTTGAAACTTTAATGACAAAATTAAGAAAAAGTAAAAATATAGTGTTAAAATTATAAACATGAAAAATTTTCTGTTGAAACTTCCCATGTGTTTTAATATATATATATATATATATATATATATATATATATATATATATATATATATAATCCTTAAAAATCAGTTTTTTGTAGTAAGGATTAGCTAAATAAGCGGATTTTAATAGACATCTCCCTTGATTTTATAATAATAGTGATGGAGAATAAATAATATTTTATCATAATATTTATAATGATTTTATTCATAATCTAAACAATTTTTTTTTACGACAATCCAATATATTAGCACAAAAAACGACTTAAGCGAGAAACTCAAGTCGAATACAAGAAAAGTTTCATAAAGGTGACAAACACCATAAGACCAATCAATATTACAAAATGAGAACATGTTATTAATCCAATTGAAATTGTTAACGCTAATATTATCCATCAAAAACATAACTGATGGCCTACGTTTGATATTCAAGCTATATTTGTATTTCAAACTTAGTTTTCTTTACTTTCTTTTTTGTTTTGTGTGTATTCTTTTGCGTTCCAGCTTCCCGCTGGTCGCTTTTTAATTTAATTTCGCTGTTCAAAAAAGAAAAAAAAAATTCAAAGTATATGGAAGGTTTGAATTACTAAGTTTTTTGTTGAAAAATAAATGGTGTTTTTATTTATAGTCTATATATTTCAAAATAAAATAACTATCCATATTTAATATTTTTTTTTTCAGAAGGTGGAAAGCAATATATTTATACGAAAAAAAGGGGGGAAAAAAAGCTTAAACACACACAATACAACTTTAACGTTTCTGACATTTGAAAGTAAGGTTTTTATCTTTTGCTATATTATTAATTTTTTTTACAGATGTCATTATTATATTGGTTTATTTTGATTTAAACAGTAGTATCTCATTATGGTATGTATTTATTTGAATTTATTATTGATGACGTCTAATCTATAGACTACTATACATCTCCACTCCTAAACCTAAGGGAGGGTATGATGGTTTTCACTGAAAAGAAAGATGCGACACTTTGAACGTTAGACGGTATATAATCTCGTTTATATAACTACTTAAATTTTTTTTATAATATTTCAAATTACTAATGCAACCAAAATTTTTAATTACTTTGTAAAAAAAATACACATAAAAACCACCAATTTCATAGATGGAATCATTATTTTATCTGCAAAAGTATAGGCAGTTTATGTATCAAGATTTGTACGTTCAAAGATGGAGTTTCCATCTATGAAATGACTATAAACCATCTGTGAAGCCTTTTAGGTATAAATACATTTTTTTTTAAATCACTTATTTTTTTAATTTTTTTTGTTGGAAAAATTCTACGAAGAAGCTATTGATGATACTTTTATATAAGTGATAAATTAAGATTTTTTGCAAAATTTTATATAAAATCTATTAATTTATATGAATTTATAGTTATAACTTTGACTTCGTAGTCAACCTTAAGAAATTCAAAATCAATATTAACTATTTAAAGAAATAAAATCTACCGACAAATCATAGATATAATGAAAATATTTCATAGATGGACTGTAATCCATCTATGAAATGGGGATAAGTTTCTGGTATTTATGCTCCAAAAACGGCAACCAAAAATGGTTATTGGTTAAATCTAAGGTTGTAAAAATCGTTTGACGGTCAACTGATGTTAAGAGATTAATAGGTTTTAACGGGGATTAATCGTGGATTAATCAGGGACCATAGATTATTAATAAAATATTAAAATTAATCAAATATTAATATATCTTAAGAAAAACAAGTACTTCAAAATTAGAAAATAAAAAATTTTGTAATTTGAAATTTTGAAAATTTGAAAATATGAATATTTTGGTATAATATTTGAAATTTTGAAAATTTGAAAATCTTGGAGTAAAAAAAAATTGATTTTTTGATTTTTTTTTTTAATTTTGTTGACCGATTAATCCCGTGAAACCTGATTAATCCTAAATTTCCGATTAATACCTTAATCCTCGACGGTTGGAGAACGCCAAACGATTAATCCACGATAAATCGCCGATTAATCCCGATTTCTGCAACCATGGTTAAATCACAGATGAAATAATGATTTCATAGATGGTTTTTTCCATATGCAAACATACAAGTCTCCGAAAATATGCATAAATTGTTTGTGCCTTCGCATATGAAATAATGATTTCATAGATGGTTTTAATCCATTTATGGAATTGATGGCTATTGTGTGCAATTTTATTTTTTACAAAGTAATTAAGAAATTGGCTATATTAGTAATTTTCTCTTTAATATATATTATTGAAGGTATAATTATGTCTATTAAATGAATAGAATATCAAGTTACCATTTGTTTTTGATGTGCACTTTATATGTCTATCTAGCTTTAAATTTATAAACCTAACTATTTAGCTAAATCATACACTTATAGGCAGTATACCTAGTCAGACTATAAAATAACTTGGGTAAGTCGGATGTCAATCATAAGGAACGGATTTAGCTAATAATATAACTACTAAAAATTAATCTAAAATCAATAATTAAAGAAGCGGTTTTATCTGATTTTGCAAGTTTAGATTAACTTAAAACTAAGCACAAACGATTGTAAACAAGATTTAGAAGACACTTCCGTTTAGCTTGGAATCCCCCTTTTGCAATGTGTAGTTTCTAAGTATGGATTTATTCAGTTGGTTACCAATTTAGATGTAATTACTTGGTCCGATCTCCTAATATTTTCACAAATTCATGGACTACTATTTGGCCTGACAATTGGGTTGGGTTCAGGTTGGCGGGTCAGAAAACATAAACTCAACCCAACCCATATAATATATGGGTTAATGGGTTGGCGGGTCACGGGTTGGTGGGTTGGAAACCTCAACCCAACCCAACCCATATAACCCGTTTAAGTATATAGGTTCGCGGGTTCACAAGTTAATGGGTCAAACCCAACCCATATAACCCGTTTAATAAATAAGCAACACATTTTAAAAAATGAGGTTTTTTCAATATAAATTCATAAAATGATTAAAGTAATTAACATGAAAAAAGGTTTTTAACATAAATTCATAAAGTCAATAACATCCAAATAAAAATGAAAAATGAAAACATTCATAGAAAGTGGATGTGTTCTTCGTTCGTGACTCGTGAAAATAACGACACAGGTTGGCGGGTTGACCCGCGAACGCAAACAGATAACCCAACCCAACCCATGAAATAAACGAGTTGGTGGGTTGGCGGGTCAAAAATCTCAACCCAAACCCGTCTATTTTCGGGTTGGGTCAGTGTCGGGTTACGGGTTGAGTCGAGAGTTGCCACCCCTAACTACTATGTAATGATCATACACAAGCAAACACAAAATTGGTTGTTAATGATAATTGGGCTATGTAAGATATATCTAAGTTAAATATAACTATGATCAAATTAATGTTCTCCAACACAGTTAAAGTTGTTGCATGTATTACTAAATCTAAGATGTGATTAACCCTAGCTCTAGCAACTTAATGGTCGTAAACTACTAGGTAAACAAGTTCATGTGATTCAATTGGTCATTAAACTACACTTAAGTTAAATCTAAATAACAAAGATGCAAACTTTAACATGATAGGTAATGAAAATCAAACACATGCATTAACCAACTTCATAAAATCCAATTATAAGTTAGAAACTAACACATAGTATTATGGTTCATCTACACTAAACGAAAGCCTAATGATTAGCTATTCATAGCAGAAAGTAAGTACACAAAAACATAAGAATTCGATATTGTTTATCTAATACAAACCGAATGTGATGTGTAATCTTCAAATCTTCAATCTCCAAGTGTTCACTCTTCCAAAGGGTTAATTTCCGCAACTCTCTAGCCTCTAAAATCGAGTATCTCTCCAGAAAATCAGATCCAACCTCCCCAAAGTTGATAGGTGAAGGAGTATTTATAGTTTTCCAATTATCGCGTCTCACGTCGTGAGCAGTAATGGCTCATGTCGTGAGCTCTACTTCAAATCGTATTCAGTGAGGAAACTGCATTCCGCGTAGTTATCTTCTGGAAGAGTTTGTACTCACGTCGTGAGAAGTAAAGACTCAGGCCGTGAGATTGTATTTGACTTAATTTTCTCTTCTTTTAAGCTCCATTAAGCTCCCAACTCAGCTCTTGTCCTTCCAGGTTCCAACTTTTGTCGTTTTGGTGCATTTTCCTCAAGAATGTCATATTTGGTTGCAAAATATAATTTAACTCAATAAGAACCAAATATCTTTGCAAATAACCAACATGTAGCTTAAAATGTATTAAAATAATGCCTAAGTATATATGTATAAATATGGACATATCAGTTTTTATGTATTTTTGTTGTTACGGCGAATTCCAGGTGCATGTTTAGCTCTTCATCTAAGGATTATGTATAATAAGCATCCGGGAATCTGCTATGCACGAAACAAAT